GGGGGCAATATGCTGACTCTGTAAACCGCTTAGAGAGGGCTGAAAGCCCTATGAAGCGGTAGATAAGTCTAACTGCTATTGCTATTGCTATTCTGGGACCTGCCGTGAGATTCTCTGGCCAGCGGGCAGGTGGGTAACTGGGAGCCAGACTTCTGCTTCTCCTCCTTCCTCGAAGCCCCAGCAATGGGGGCAGGACCCACGGAGCTTGCCTGACACAAGGTGCCAGCCCAGGCTGCCCTGGCCTGGCTCTGCAGACATTTCCTGCCAGTGGGGCTGGGTGTGCCAAGCAGGCAGGCTCTGTTGGACCTGCCTCTCCCAAACCTCTCCCCTTCCCCTGCTCTGCTGACAGCTGGCCGAGACCCCCCCCCCCGGTAGCACAGGGCGTGTGTGTTAAGCACCTGGTCCGTTGTGGGAGGCAGAGGGGAGGTGGGGCCGGATTCCCTGTGAGGCAGCCTGTCCGTCTTCCTCCTTTGGTTCCTCGCCGCGTGTGCGAGTGCCGATTCTCCAGATTGTCCGTCCTTCCTTTCAGCCCGAAAGGCTCCTCGGAGCTGAGAGATGCGGGCGCTGCAGGCGGATCCGTGTGGGTTGAGCGTTTTGTTAGGCGAGCACAATAGATGCGCAGCCCTGCCGCTCGGGGTGGAACAGCGGAGCCCGTGGCGCTCTCTCCCAGCCCGGCTGCTCCCTTGCAGCGGCTTCATTGTCTGCCGAGGCAAGACGGGAGCAAGCGCCACCCTCCCTCCCTCCCTCCCTCCTCGGATAATGAAACATCTGCCAGTCACCAGCCAAGCTTGGAGAGCATCAAGGACCCCACAGTGAGGGGGACGGGGGCCTTTCTCCGCCTGCTATCAGATTTGTTAACCCAGCTGGCATTTTGTCATCCCTGCCAGCCACGGCTGCCATAACACCAGGCAACGTCTGTGTTGGGAAACCGAAGCCCCCCCCCCCCCCCCCGAGAGGACCAAGGAGACAGCCTCCTCCTGGTGGACGGGTCTCCTGCAGGCTCTTTGGCCTCAAGCACCGGCCCTCTGTCCTGCCAGCGGTTTAGGCAGGGAGCCAGCTAGCCGGTCTGCAGCAGCCTGGAAGATGGCCGCCCAGGACTCGTCATTCAGGCACAGTGGTTGGCGTGCAGCGTTTCAGGCTGACTCTGCCCACTGTCAGGAGTTCAATCCTGACCGGCTCCAGGTTGACTCAGCCTTCCGTCCTTCTGAGCCCGATCAAATGAGGACCTGGATTGTTGGGGGCCAAGAGGCTGACTCTGTAACCGCTTGGAGGGGGCAGCGGGATCGAAGTCTAAGGGCTGTGGCTAGTGCTGAGCAGCTACACCAGGGTCCCCCTGGGCTTCCCCTGGGCTTCCCCTGGTGTCATGATCCCGAAGCCTTCCTTCTTGCACTTTCCCAGCTAAGCACATAGCATAGCAGAGTGGGAAGGGACCTTGGAGGGCGTCTAGTCCAACCCCCTGCAGGAGACCCTTCACCTTCTTAGAATCCTTGTGGGTCTGAACCCCCCCCCCAATTGATGCAAGGCCTGTGGTGTTTCAGGGCCTGGGGGCTTCCTTGCAGGAGGGACTAAGGAGACCCAGAGTCCGAGGGATACATAAGCATGTCCAAAAGGGGGGCAGGACCTCCACGCAGCTGCTCCATTCTTATCGGGGTGCCTGGTAAAGAGGGGATCATCTCACAGCCAGAGGGCTCCTTGCCAAGGTCTCCCTTCGTCCTCTTGGATCACCCGCCGGCTGCCTGGGCTGAGGGAGGTTGCTGTGCAAAGGCTGCGGAGGGGCCTGGAGAAGAACTGGTCCCCGTGGAGGGAAGATGGCTGGGGGGGGCAGGAGGGGGGGCTGACTCAGTGCTTCCAAGCAGGACAGGGTGGTTTCCTCTCGGAGCCCTGCAGCCCCACATCTGCCCGACTGCCCTGCTCCTCTGGCCCAGCACAGTGTTCGCCTGGGCTCAGCTGCTGCTTTGGCATGGGGAAAGCGCCCCCTCTGCTGGCCCTGGGGAGGCACTGCAGCTCCATGCTGGACTGGTTGCTTCTGGTGAAGGGTGGGGTCTGGGGAGGAATTGCAGCAGCCACATCTGGCCCTCAGGACAGGATCCCCATGGACACCCATCCATCCCTCCGTCTAACATCCCCAATATCTGTCTGTCTGTCTGTCTGTCTGTCTGTCTGTCTGTCTATCTATCTCTATCTATCTCTATCTATCTATCATCTATCTATCATCTATCTGTCTGTCTGTCTGTCTGTCTGTCTGTCTGTCCTCTATGCCAGTGTTTTTCAACCTTGGCAACTTGAAGATGTCCGGACTTCAACTCCCAGAATTCCCCAGCCAGCGAATGCTGGCTGGGGAATTCTGGGAGTTGAAGTCCAGACATCTTCAAGTTGCCAAGGTTGAAAAACACTGCTCTATGCATTCATATCTTTCTATCTCTCTTATCTAATCCCTCTGTCTTCTATCTCTCTGTCTTCTATCCATCGCCTATCCATCCACCACCCAAATGTATCCAAGGACTCTGCAGGTGTCTTGGGGTGTGGCCCACGGTTCCCAGCTGCTGGCAGGAAGATGTTGGGGATGTGAGCTCCTGTTGCTAGTTTGAGGAGGGGGAGACTGTCAGCCCAAGAGAAGCCGCCTGCTGGGGCAGCTCAGATGAAAGAGAGGCGTTGCCCCCAGCCCCTCCCCATATTTCCTTGCAAAGCCATCCTGCCCGGAAGAGGTTGACCTGGGTGGGAAGCTCCCTTCCCTGGAAGAATCGCCAAGACAGGCTGGGGGCATCAGGCCTTCACTTTCTCTCCCGACATGCTGGAGAGCCCTGGCCTGGCAGGCGGAAGAGGCTTGGAAGCCCACCCACCTGCCCCTGGGTCTCTGTGGGAGGCAGGGTGGCTGTGAAATGGGGCATCAAAGGCGTGGGGCCAAAGGAAGCTTGCAGAGAGCACTGCTTGGGGTGGGGGGATCCCTCTGGATCTGGCTCCAGGCCTCTGGGAAGCCCCAGCGCAGCCTCTCCCAAATTCAGCCTGGAGAAGCGGCACCTGTGTCCAGTTTCTCAGCCTGGAACCCTCTGCTTGGTCCTATGCGCATCAGCCCCTCCTCCCCCCCCCCGTGTCATTGGCTCTTGAGCAGCCTCCCACAGTCCGAGCATCCCCACAGCTCTTGACCCCGAAGGCCAGAGGCGAGCGAGGGCTGCTTCGTGGGTTAGCTGGTTCCAGGGGCCTCATCCGTCCACTCTCTGTCCCAGTGGAGAAATTCCATTTTTTTTACTACCGCTTCTGTGGGCGGGGCTTGGTGGGCGTGGCAGGGGGAGGATCCTGCAAAATCCCCCTTCCCTCCCCACTCTGGGGCCAGCCGGAGGTG